GTCACTGTTAAGAGTAACTAAGGGGGGTGGGGTTAAGCAAAGGATCAATTACAAACTACTAATCATTACTGTTTCTTATTGTTGTCTTACAGTAAACAATTATTATTTATTTTATCCACTGATGGACTGTGAGCAGCAGAAACACAGAGACAACTACATTACAGGTGGGTAGTGGGTGAGAGCAGCACAGTACAGCTTACTACTGTGTGTAATATAATGCAAGCGCAATCTAAATTTCTGAAATGTAATCTAATAAAATACCAGAAACTGCTGTTCAAAGAATAACCATGGAGTTAAATCAACACCTCTGACTCAGTCTCAACAAATATCAAACATTATAGGTTTCACAGATATAGTATTTATTACATTGCTGTTGTGTTGCATTACATCGTACTGGTGCTTCTATATTTAATACTTAGTCTAAAACTCAGCTATAGGGAGAAAAAAGGATTCTTGAGCACAGATATGATGTTGAAATGTCCTCAGTGGACAAGGATGAGAGCTTGAGGGAGTATTATAAAATAATTCATGTCTATACTAAATAGATTTAATTTGATACTATCTATTTTTCAGATATCATACATTTTGACTTGTTTTGGCAGCGAGTCAATTAAAACATGGTTGATTTGATGGAAGAGGAACCAAGCTTCATTTTAACAACATCATTATCATTCATCATTCTGTTCACTGTTTATCATTCAACAGCAACTCTAAAGTGAGCAGTTATCATTTAAACATGTGCACCGGCCAATGTGCCAATCAAAGTTTAATCTTGAAGAGTCAGTGTTGATTGTTCTGACTTCGTGTTCCCTGAGGCCCCGTCACACAGCTGAATGTGACAGACCCAGTTTGCAGCCATTTGGAGCTCCGGTCTGCAACAAGAGAGTCAGATACACTTTTTGTTTAGTTTATTCTCAAGGCTTTCTGCTGCTTTGTTGATGTTGGCAACTTCCTGATAGCGACTATTTAAAACAGATGTAATTATTATCTTCAGAAAGCAGGCTGAACCTTAATGTGGTCCATGACACATTGGTCACTGCACATATTATAGAAACCAGAGAAAACAAATGACAAAAAATCTGTGTTTAAAAAAAATGATGTTTATCAAATCAAACTTCTTGTGATTTTGATCAAATATTGACTCTGCTGCTTTAATCAAATCTGCCATGTTTTAATCAAATCGTGTCTTCATCAAAACAAGTTAAAGTTCAAGGGAACATTTATCAGTTTAACTACACTTTCATCTTCTGTTTTTATTGTTTAATATTTGAGTTCCACCCTTGGGCTCACTTAAATCTAATTTCTGCTTGGCATCTGACTTTTTAGTTTAACATTCAAAGTGCCACTGCGGTGCACAGACACATCTCAAAAGTTTATGGCAAAGACTAAAAGAAAATACAGTAACGTATGCTGTTCCACTGATAACTGGCATAAAATCAATATTACATTAAACTTCCAGCGTATTCTAGCGGAGTATGACATTTACTTTAAAATATATACGTATATAATAACTAACTGTATAAAACTTACTGTATCAGACCTATAACTTTCCTCATAACTGCAACTAGAGACAGTAGCTGACGTTTTATGTCAGCATAAAAGTGACACATGAAGTTGCTTTTGTCGTAATTTGTCTTCAACTTCTTGTCTAAGTTTTGGTTTAAAGAAAATCGTGTATCGTTACATCCCTATGTACCATGAATTTGTGTTAACATTTACCTAATGTTTTGCACCATTCTGGTATCTAAGGTACCTTTGTGCTCAGTTACCACCTATATGTAGTGTTGAAACAACTGAAGGAGAAGATTATTCCTTCCTTTTGATGATGCTTTGCTTACAACAGGTGCGATAGAGTTTAGATTTGCCTTTGATGTGAGCTGCAGCTCTCAATTTATTCAATTCATCATGCATGTTTTGTTATAGACAACATTTTATATTTATACAAATCCCTTCCCTCCCTTGGCTCCCATGGGTACAGCCAGCACTCCAACAACAGCCACTGTAGTTTTGCTTATGGCTCATTTCCTGCTTCAAGCATACAGCAGGAGGGCACAGTCACAGTAGGCTAATGGGTTTAACATGCTAATGTTGTGCTGCATTCATATGCTCTAGTGTGTGGTATAATTTAACATAGCAACAGAAAAGGTTACAGCCATTTGTATAATGAACACTATTATCATGTTACCTATACAACCATATTATGATTCCTTTCCACAGGCAATACACATAATCATAGCCATGAGTGCTACATTACAGCTAACATGTTTTTCAGTAAAAGATGGCATTCACCTGCATCAGTCAATTAGCTTTGCATTTCCTCAGCTACCAATAACTTTGATACATTCTTCTCATTAAAACCAGATTACAAACGGAAAAATCATTTGTATCACTGTGTCAGTTCACTGCTTCATAGCTCACATTCCTTCCACTGACATATGATTCTGTCTTAATAAAGGCATGCAGGAAAAGCCATACGTCTCTTCTGACCTGTTATTTGCCCGGAAGCGAATGCCAGAACATTACGTTTGTCCCCATGTGCATAGCACATACAAATTCAGAAATTATTAAGGTAAATTATTGAGTCACGCGTGGGTAGCAGGTTATTTCCGTTTACACAAACGAGAAAGAGTGTGTGTGTGTGTGTGTGTGTGTGTGTGTGTGTGTGTGTGTGTGTGTGGTGTGCGTGTGCGTGCGTGTGCATGTGCAATGTACAGGGAGCACAAGGAGCTCCACAACATGATGAATATTTGGTGCACTTACACACCAACATTCCCCAATGATTCATAAATCATTTATTTTGGGGTCAAGACTTTATTTTTCAAGACTTGTAGATAATGTTAAGACCAATCTGCACTGCTTACACATTTTAAAGGGAACTTAATTCCACTGGGTTTATGAGTTTATTAAGCAATACATTATGTGGAACATATTTGTTCATACTGAACACATCTGCAAAACATTCTTTGTCAGTAACAAGTTTCCTTTGTTTTCAAAGAATATCAACTCTGAACAACTAAAGCATAATTAACTTTTTTGCGGTAATGTTTAAGAAAAGTCTAAGGTTAACAAAAGATTGTGGTCTTTAAGTAAAAATCAGTACCGAGTTGAGGAGAGGTGACGTCTTGACTTTTAATAAAAAACCAACAACCTTTGTTTGTGAGTCTTTTTTCCCATGTTTTCCTGCCTCTGCAATCTTCAAATAAAGGCTTTTTGTAGCAAAAATGTAGTATATTGAGACACTGATATGTGTGGACTCACCGGTAAAAAAACAATTAAGGGTTGAGACTTAGCTTTCATGTGAAGCTTAGAATTATGGGTTAATTTAATGGTTTGGGGAGGCGTGTAGCAGTTATGGTTACTGTAAGACTAGGAGAAATCATTCAAATGTCCTCACAAGTACAGTAGTACACATTATTTGTGAGCGTCTGTGTGCTGGATGGAGGGAGGAGGACGTAAGGCAGAGCAAGAAAGAGGGGGTGAGGTTTGGGGGAACAAAAAGAAAGAGAAAACACAATGAAGAGAAAGGGGGTCAAAGTAGGAAAAAAAAAATCTGGTGGATGGAAGGAAGGAGAATAAATGGGAGATGAAGTGTGGAAAATAGGGAATGGGGTGCTGATGTGCTTCTTAAGCAGGTCATTGGATGCAGTGTGCCTTGGAAAGGCTCGTTTAAGCATGGCTAACAGATTTCCTCAGTTCCTGCGGGAGCAGTTCCTCAAAGCTCCGATCCAGAGAGGCACTGTCACTGTCAGGACGCATGACAAGGAAATGGGGCACATAGCCATTAAACAACTTCTGAGCTATCGTCTATCACAAGAGGGGAGGAGAACTTTATTACCCATGGATACTGTTTAGCTATTCAGAAAGAATAGAGCTGAACAAAACTGTAACTGAATGTCATCAGGAACAGAGAATCAAAAGAAACCTATACTTTCTGAATTGCTACTCTTGACATGAAAGCTGCTGGGACGTTTTCATAAGCGCTCATTTCTTCAGTTCTTCAGCAAACTGTGCTCTGTAACAGCAACCATATCATCAACACCCTGTGCTGCAGCTAAATTGGGTGTTACATCAGTGCAGATTCTCAGTGGAGATCAAGGTGCCCCGCTGAAGCTGCAGAATCAATACTTTTGTCCATCATGTCTGGGGGCTCCAGAGCCTCCTGCCTGTCTGATGTGGGGAGTGAAGCCTAGTTTACAGCATACTGGTGAACACTGTCTCTTGATCCTGCTCATCCTCTTATTCAGCACTGAAGGGCACCGAGCGCCGTAATCCACCGCCACCAGTCTCTGGCAGAGTTCATGGGCGACACCAAAGCTCTGTTGTTCACACAAACCAGCAACGCCTCATACTTCACATAGAGGCGAACACACACACACACACACACACACACACACACACACACACACACACACACACACACACACACAGCACTTCACAGTCTCAGACACAAAAACAAGCTTAGTAGTTGGTCAGTTAAATAGCTCAAAGAGCTGCGCGCATGTCTTCGGGAGCCAGGGGCTTCAGGGTTTCATATTTCCCAATTTACATTGAAACAGAGTTTATAACGCCATGTGTCTCACGCTGACTTCAATCCACTCTCCGTGCTAGATCGCCTCCCTAATGACAGTAATTGCATTGAGGAAGCCCCCGGTCGTGTTCAATTACCCATTCCCAACCAAGCACACGGGTCTAATCTCGCAGTGTAATATACGATACAGATGGCTCTAGAAGGCAGACATATTCATCACCCCCTCATCTTTGCTGGAACATGTGAAATCCAGCAGGAGAAACATGTCACATTTGAATGAGCTGAGAGGAGGCACTGAGTTTTCATTATCTGATAATATCTGAGAACTCGTGTTTGCAAAGTTGAAATTGTTCTATTTGTCTCCTTGAGAGGATAAGTAAGCGAAAAATCTCTTCCTAGCTCTGTGTGGCTCTTATTCTTGTACCACAATTGTGCAAAATCAGAGAGTGACGACAGTAAAATGAACACTCACCCCAGAGGTTTCTCCAGGCGGCTGGCAGGTGAGCCCACAATCTCTCCCAGTGTACAGTAGACCTGTCCCAGGAAGTCCTGCCATGGGGGGGAGCATAAAGTGGGATGGAGAGAGACGTAGGTTTGGGGCAAAGGATGGGGGCATTCAGGTGGATCACGGGGTGGTAACAAGGAGAGTCGGTGAGGAGTTAAGCATCGTTATAAGAATTGTACGGTTATAAATTAGGACGTCTATAGGCAGACACGTACGTTAAAGTCGGTTGGCTTCCAGGGTGGAGAAGGAGGAGGAGGAAGAGAGAGAGACCAGGCAGCAGCAGTGACACAACAGAGCATATCATGGAACAGAAGGCACACGACTCAAATACCAGACTGTCATCAACCAAGTGCAAGAAAGAAGAGTAGATATGTGAAAGAGCAGATAGGCAGAATGGCAACAGCAGAGGGTAAAGAATCACAGAGTCTCAGAGGGAGAAAAGGAAAGTGAAAGAGCACAAGAGAAGGAAAGCAGAAGGAGTTTCAAAGCTTGTTTCCAGAGCATGCAGCACGATGCAAAAACACAACAATAAAAGCATCACAGCGACAGAAGCATAACTAATGATGAAGATTTTGGTAGTATGCAAACCAAGTGCTGCAAATATATTCTTTATGTGTCTTTATAGTATGAGTAGGAGTTTATTTATCAAAGCTTTCAGCATAAATAGTGACACTAACATACAGTCACCTCAATGGGTTGTTTACCTGAATGTATGTTCTACAATAAAGTGCTGTCCCTTTCAGGCAAAACTGCCATTTAGGTAAATGTGTATTGTTTTCCAAATCTGTGAGCTGTCTTGGAGATGAAAATCGAAATTGCAAACAACACCACAGAGCACAAAGGGAAATGTGCTGAAAAGCTTTGATAATGATGTGCAATGCTTCATGTCTCTCTTTTTTTTAAAAAAGGTAATGAGGGTATGCCAGATGCAAATGAATCTTTGATTATTAAGGCTCCTGAGGAATAAAATACCTAATTTTTCTCAAAATGAAGCAGGTGGAAGATAAAGAAATATAAACAATATTTTGGCAGATGAAGCATAATTCACTCATTATTCAAAAATATATTTGAGCATTTAGACGCCATAAACTTTGGTTTGCATAATACCGAAATATTAAGGACATGCAATAATAACAAGTCAAACTAATTTTAGAATTCAAATGTGAAGTCAAACTCCTCATCTACAAAAAAACAAGAAAAGTTCTTCACTTACATGCTTTGCCAGATCTGGACTTTTAGAATCAATATCATACCTGAAATCACAGAGGCCACAAATCACAGGGGCAAAGATATGGGAATTAATCTTAACTTACAGATGAATAAAGAGTCTCATAAAAGAATACTGTCTGCAGCATGGACATTTACTGCCTGTCAATCACACACCTGGGTCACTGAGGGAGCAAAAGGGGACGGCCAGTGAAAAAAATAATAGGGTAAGCAATAATGTGTCAGTTAATTAAGGAAGTCATACTATAGTTTATGAATGTAATTTCCGCACTATGCCTGGGGGATCATATTGAAACAATCTACAAATGCAGAGAAACTTTTTGAGCATCTGCCAGTCAAACTTAATGTAAAAGTAATTAAACCTCAATATGCCCTGGCTCCCACCTCTGTGATAAAGAGAGATGTAAATGAGTAACACTAATTGTGAGGGGATGCACTCCCTCCTTTGCTGTTCCAGAGTCGTATCATGATAACACGCCAAATGAATTCATTAAGTGTCTAAAAATCCTCAGAGACCTGCAGCTCCGTCCTGGATAGCCCATTGGAGAGTTCATGCTTGAAGGGAGGAAAAAAAAAAAAAAAGGACAGATTTTTGGAAGCATATCTGTTCTCCTTGAGGAGAGAGGAGGAGGGGGGGAGAGAGGAGGATAATGATCCCGACTCTGTTCTCTGAGATCTCAAAATGAAACTGCACCTTCCTGACCCTCTCACTAGTCTGGCCTTTTCAAGAGGAGGAAGGGAGCTGTATGTGAAAGAGAGGAGGTCTGGGGTCTTTTTGAGCTTTATGGGACATATCATACATTTGTTTTGCTTAGCAGCAGGGAGATTAAGGATAAAACTTTATATGAAATATTTATCACCCATATACCAATCTCCCTTCAACGAATGACTACTGAGACACTGCACCAATGAATAATTCCACAGGAGAGAGCCCAACTGGTGACGAGAGAGGGAAGAGAGGAGAAGAGTGACTCGGTGAGAGAAAATGAGAGACAGGAAACAGGGAGAGGGGATGAAGAGACAGATGGGGGGTAGAAGGAGAGGGAATGAGGGAGAAGATGTTCAGCTTGTGGTAGAAACAAAGGAGAAGAATTGGAGGACTGGGTTGGAGAGGGCAGCACATCAGTGCGTGTCCTCAGAGGACCGGATCAAACAGAATAACTCACACGTCAAAGCGCAGGTTCTGCTTCTCCTCAAAGAAGTAGTCCAGGATGTACTTCCTGACAAAGTCTGGGTTTAGCGTGTTGTCTATCACCTCTGTTCTCCCAAACTATGTCAGAACCAGAAAAGAAGAGGAAACGAGAAGAGCTTTGAAACGGCACACCATGCAGTCACACAGAAGCATCTACTACATCTACTGCTCACCCAACCCCCTCTATCTTCCCCTGGCAACAGTGTGATCTCACAGCTTCGGATAAGCTCAGATTTGATTAACAGAAGTCGGTGATCACACAGTGTCAGCTCTTCTTCTCCACCTCTTCTTATTGTGTTTGGAAGAGCAAGCCTAAGGAAAGCATTTTATTGAGTCCAATTACACTCATTTAATTAAAACCACATTAACGCCACTGTTGCTCTCAGAGCCACTTCAAAACAAAGGGCTGAGGATGGGGAGGAGGACAAGACAAAGCCTGAGAGACACAGTGACTTTCACATTCTGTCTTCACACAGGGGAGCTGTCACAAATGATGGGAAGATGGCAAACTATCTCCTGGTCCACGGCGCTAAAAAGAAAATGGGAACCCAACGGCACAGACACTGAAAAGAGATAAGTCAGTGTTACAGAGCAAGACCTTGTGATGAGTTGATGTGCTGATAAACAAATCAACAGACACAGAAAGTGCTGCACCCCCCGCACCAGCACACGCACATTAATTGTATCCAAAATGAATAATTCAACGTCAGAGAACTGATGTTGAGCTGCATAAATAAAAGATCCCCAGTAGAAAGTGTTACCATAAACTGACACAGTGAATTAATAATAGCAGTGTTAGGGCTTAATGAGCAGATGAAACTGCAGGATTACAGGCTCACACCTTTGTGATTACATCCAGAGGGGGTAAAACTCAAAGTGGGTCTTAAGAGGGGAGCTATGCAGAGTAAGGTTACACCAGCAGAAATATTTTAACGGAAGCCTATGCTAATGCAAAGACAGTCAAGCTGGATTGTGTGTAACATGTGACAGTTTGAGAGAGTGGGTTTGCTGAAGTGTAACCTGCCATCAAACATAAAAGTGTGTCTAAGCTTATAAAAGTTTAACTACTGTGTGCCACCTCCTCTCCTCCCGTTCTTCCTCTTCATCCCTGTCAGAAAGTGTGAGAGCTCCCTTCCAGCAGATGCAAAGGAGGTGAAAGCTCCACCGAGCGAACAGGAGCCTATTTCAATGATAGGAGCTAAACGTGGCAGCAGGGGTCCAATAGCATATTCAATTTGGTCTCAGGCCAAACTTAACAAAGGAAGAATCAGCACCAGAGCAAAGAACAGCCACCTGAGGAAATAACAAATCTCCCAATTCACACATTATTCCTACCTTGGCAAGTACACAGTCAGTAAAGCCAGAGTTGCAAAGCATTACAATTAACTGTCAACCCCCCCAAAAAAAAAGATCCCTGCTAGAGGGTTATCTGGGCGCTGGCAGTGTGCACTTCTTCCCCTCCAATAACCCTAACTAGGATAAATTGTGAGCTGCAATGTCAGGAAATTCTTCTTGGTAAAAAGATTAATGTTTAGGAGTTTGGCTTTGCTTGAATTTAGGGGGGTTATATTGTGTCAGCTGCTCAGTTAAGTGAAAGCAGTAGAAACCTGTCAAGCACTAGGAGTAATTACAGACGAGGGAGTTAAAGATTAAGACTGTAAAGTCAGGTGGACGGGCAGCGGCTACAGTTTTTATAGATTCGACTTATGTTGTCAAAAATTAGTCAAGGGGGCACAGGTGTCAGGATGAGCTTATGACTTATGTTGTCAAAAATTAGTCAAGGGGGCACAGGTGTCAGGATGAGCTTATGAAGGCATCCTCCTGAAATCAAAACACAATTCATCGATAGCAGCAGCATTTATTTTTATACTCTTGTCTTGAAGAAGCAGCTGCCAATGGCGGGAGTTTGCCCCACAGAAGAGTAATTGGATTACATACAGTTGGTGTCGCGGTGAAAGGTGCTCCGTCCAACCATATCTAGTCTCAGGAGAACAAAAACACATTACATGACAGAGGGGCAAAAGAGGCGCTTAGCTTTATCAATACTGCACAGCTTGACTCTGCTGCTCACAAAGCCAGCTGTCGTCTGCACTGAAGACACAGGCCTGTATCTCTTTCAGGGAGTGACATTCAGGCTGCACCCACAGTCTGTGAGCTTGAGGTGGGGCAGTGTAACCAGAGGTGACAGGTGTAGGAGGCTCTTCTCGCTGAACACTGCACTTGATGATTGTCTACATTTGCATGTTAATTAGTAAAAATACTCTCTGGCTTTTAAATGAATGTCACTGTGTTGCTACCAGCACCAAGGTTTGCTTTACTATGAGTTGAGGCCAGCTGACCGCCCCTGAAAGACATACAATTATAACCAGCAAGCAACATGCTCAAGTATGATCTGAGTGATTACCACTGCAAAAATATTGTTTTTTAAGTAAAGCAACTAAACACTCAAGTCATTCAGTTTGTCAGTAAATTGGTTAAAGAATTGATCAAACATCCAACCACTCCATCATTCAGTCAATCATTCATGTTAATTGTCCCTGCTGGGAAATTTGGAATGCAGTTAGGTTAGTACAAAATGCCAATTACAGACACAGTTTGAAGGTTTAAAGGTCCAGTTAGTAACATTTAGGAGGATCTATTGGCAATAAATGGGAAATGGAATATAAAATTAATAGGTATTTTTCATTTGTGTATAATCACCTGAAAATAAGAATCATTATGTTTTTGTTATCTTAGAATGAGCCATTTATATCTACAGATGCTGCTCCATTCATTGAGGCCGCCATGTTGAACTGAAATTACACTGCTAGATGCCACTAAATCCTACACACTGGTCCTTTAAGCAATAGTTTGACATTTGAGGAAATACACACAGTCAGATGAGAAGACCAACACCACTCCGGAGTATCTGAACACTTCCAAGAAGTTACTGTCCCCGGCAAAGAAATAGTAACTCCCATAATACTGTGACTCGTTTTTTTTACTTCGGTTTTAGTAGGAATGAAACAAACGAGATGTAACATATTACTTTGTGAGCTTTAGAGATGCTGGTGGGCAGAGATTTTCACCTGTGAACGGAGTTGCTGTTTAAGCCCTGCAGTCTTTATGCTGAGCTAAGATAATCATCTCCTGGTTATAGCCTCATATTTGCAGTACAGACATGGTGGTGGCATCGATCATCTCGTTCAAATCTCAGCAAGAAAGCAAAAAAACTGGTTTAAGGGTTAGGTTTTGAATATGGTTTAAGTAAAGCAATGTTTATGGTTAAGGATAGGCAATACATTATATTAGTGACAGTCCTAGCAGAATAGCAGATCAAACATTAGTATGTATGTATTGTGCGTGAGTGTGTGTGTGTGTCTGTGTGTGTGTCTGTGTGTGTGTGTGTGTGTGTGTGTGTGTGTGTGTGTGTGTTGCTTTGTTCTGTGAGATGTAGTGTCTCTCATCTATGTTGAAATCCATACTACAAACCTTCCTCCCTTTTAAAGAGCCCACATGCACCGACACACAGATTATAACTGAAACCTTTGTATCTTAGAGCTGACTATTTCCCACTCACAAATCTGTTGTGTCACACCACTGTGCACTGGCGTGACACCAGGGTCTCTGTGGAGTCAATAAACATTGCACTCAAATTCAATCAAAAAGGATTTGAGTGTGAAAAGTATCCATCTTCCTGTTAGGCTGCATCTATACACAGTGTTTATTGTGATATACAGCAAACTCTGATTTATCTTGCTTGTAGCTATTTTGAAAAAAAAATTATGTTTGGGTTCATAAAAATGGTTGGTCTGCCTTAGATAAAAAGGAATATAAGAGTGTAAAAAAATTCTTGAATTATCAAAGTTCTTCAAATGTAACTTAAATTACTATTTCTCTGTATGTCCATCCATTGAGATTACAGGGACGAATATAATCCCAGAAGGACCCTCAATTCTGCCTCAGTCACTGCTGCTCTGGAGCCATGTGGCTATTTATTGTTTGTTTGTTTATTTATTCAAGGAGGGACAATGCACATTAATTAACATGAGCGCTTGAGTCCATCATGTAACTGTGCCAGATTTAGCCATTGAGGCTAATTTTCCTCTGCACTCTCAATAGCGGTGGCTACTAGTGTTGAGTCTCCCTAGTGGTTCTAGCAATGGATTCCACCTCCAAACAAAGAAAAGTCTCAAGAGGAAAATAGAAAGAGATTTGTTTGCTTCCAACACTGCTGGCTTTCTGGTATGTTTGGTCCGCAGAGGCAAATTAGCATTATATGGCTAAAATGTGTTTTTGGGCTCCAGGCAGATTTTTATTTTTATTTTTTTTGACAAAAATTGCTCTTTTGATAGTAGAGGTTGCTGATCCCTGCTCTACTTCATCTGCCTCTCTGGTCTCATTAAAGCCAACAGCATGGGGGGACTCTGACACAGACGCAAATCTATATTGATACAAGTATAGCTGTCACCTTAATCAGCCAGTCAGTCACAGCTAACACAGTGCTGACCAGCGCAGGCATATTCACAGGTTCAATCAATTGCAAATGATTGGCACTTGCAGCATTTACCTTGAGAGAAAAGAGGGGAGGAAAGGGAGGGTGGGGGTTGTAAACAGAGAGCAGGCTGTCATGGAGAGGAGTCAGGCTGATTGAGTTGTGTTGACACAGGGACGGCTGTGATCTCTTACCTCTCTCCACTGTTTGGACTCCACACCCTGCGTGTACAACACAACCACTGGAAGGAAGGGAGGCGGAGGCGAGGGAGAAAGAGAGAGCAGAGGAATACATTGTCACTAAACAATCTCAATCAAGCATCCTTCTTCTTCAAATGGTGTTTGTTTTGTTCTCTCTTTGCCGGCATTCATCATTAATTATCCTGCCACGCCTTGACAGCATAATGAAGTGCCAAGCTTGATGATGGAGCCGCGCTGCATCGAATTTGGGTATGATGTCCACATGCAAAGAACAAAGCTCTAAAGCAAGATTGAAGGCTCTCTGGAGCACAATTTAAGCCACGCAATCAAAACACAATTTCTTAACAGTGGGTTTCTCCTGATTCCTATTTGATTTTGTGACTTCAAATGAAGCTGAGGCTGGCGAACACTACGTGACCTGTCATATATTGCAAGGTTCATCTTTGGGCGAATACAAAACAGGGCGAGTGTGATATTTTCCTAGTAGCTTATTTACACAAAGGGCTTGAACCTCCTCCCTATTATGTTAAATGTCTCCTCCGTTCTCTATCCTTTAGGGAGTATCAAAGAAAATGCCTTTATGGCGGTTCCCCATGTGTCTCACCAAAAGATCGCCATTTGTATTCAAAGGCTGGTGTTATACTCTGCATGCATTAAGGTACTTTCCGTAGCTCTCAGTGAGGAAAGGTTGTCACATTACTGTGCAAATGATATGCAGTTATTGAAGGAACACTTTGAAATAGCAGAGTAAACTGAACTAAAGTTAAGCTCAGCGAAAAGTAAAAAAAGTAAAGCTTCGCAAAGGAGAGGAGTTGTCCATGAACCATATTCTGTGCAAGGAAAAGCTAAGCTGCAATTAGCATCGTAAAAAGCTGAGAACTTACATGGGTCGGATTTGGAGAAAGTGTCTCTGTCCAAGAGATTCCTGTAAGAGAAGGAAACATCAAAATGTCATTGAAGTCCAGCATGTGTTTAATTATTCTAACGGAATTTACTGCTGTGTAATAGTCCCATCTTATTTTGTAAAATATGTAAATGTTTGGTCTTACACAGTTTAACCAAAATGTCTATACACAAAGATCTACAACATAATCGCATGGTAATTCACATCCACACTTAATTTCACATACTGTCCTTGAGTTTTCATTTCCAAGTGAGCAGTACAATAATAAGCACATTAGAGCTCAGGGAAAGGACACAGAGGACACAGAGGTGCCAGTGAACACATTGGTGCTACAAAGCATTCAGAGTGCAAACCTTCGCCAAAGCTGCACAATCCTCTACATTTATTCTGAGAGAAAAAACGTTATCAATTAAAAAAACACGTAAAACGAACAAACATGCCGTTTACATGCCTGTTTTTTGTTCATTCAAGTAAGTATAGTAGTTTCTTCTCAAAATAAAGCGATCTTGAAAGAATTCCAAAATGTCTGTGTCTGTGTTTGATCTCTGCGTTTGTTCTTTTAACCATGGCCTTGTTTTCTGCTAAATTGGACTAGTTGATTTGATTAGATGTTGCTAAGAAAGAAAATGACAAACAAACAGCACCAAAGACACAGAATAACATATTTTATAGGTAACTAATTAACACATATGTGCCATAGAAAAGAACAGAAGTGACAAATACTCACACTCACAGTTGCAGCCTAATATGACCCGATTTTTGAATGGTGATTTAGTTACTTTAGTTCTTCTACAGTAAGTTTGCATATGCTCTTTGGACAGCCATATATACAGCAAAGGATGGACAACATTTCAACAGAACTACAGTGACGAAAATGATAAACAAATTATTCTTTATATTATCATAATTTTAGAGACTACATCCACAGATTCAAATTTGAATCATTTTTGTGCCAATTATATGAGCGGTCGCCCTGCTCAACCGGAGAAGGACTCTAATTAAATCTGCAACAATTATTCTATCAACGAAATATGTATTGGCTGGTTTTTAAATAAACAATTAATCATCTAAGTTATTTTTCAAGCAAACATGACAGCTTCTCAAATGTTCTGCCTTTCTTTGTCTTGATAAACTGGATATATCTGCATTTTGGACTGTAAACAAATAATATTTGATTTCATAATTTGAAGACTTGTGACTTTCGGCTCCTTATCGCTCAAATTGGCAAGATGATCTTAAGATTTATAGAAAGGCCCTCCGTAATGCCAGAGGAGCCTATTACTCAGCACTAATAGAAGAAAATAAGAACAACCCTAGGTTCCTCTTCAGCACTGTAGCCAGGCTGACAAGAGTCACAGCCTATCGAGCCACATATCCCCATAAACTTGAGTGGCAATGACTTCATGAGCTTCTTCTATAATAAAATTATTACTATTAGAGAAAAATTAATCACCAACTGCCATCAACAGTTATCAGTGGCTCTCCAAGTTCAGGGACCTGTCAATGTAAACTTAGATGTATATTTAGACTGTTTTCTGCTATCGATCTTCATCAGTTAACTTCAATCATTTCTTCATCGAAGCCATCAACCTGTCTGTTAGACCCGATCCCAACTAGGCTGCTAAAGAAGTTGTCCCTTAATTGGCACTTCTTTACTGGATATGATTAATCTTTCTTTATTATCAGGATATGTACCACAGTCCTTTAAAGTAGCTGTAATAAACCCCTTCTAAAAGTCTACTCACCCAGGGGTTTTAGCCAACTATAGACCGATTTCTAACCTCCCGTTCCTCTCTAAGATTCTGGAGAAAGTAGTCGCCAAAGAGTTGTGGACTTTCTACATAACAATAGTTTATTTGAGGATTTTCAGTCAGGATTTAGAGTTCATCATAGCACAGAGACAGCTCTGGTTAAAGTTAATAATGACCTTCGACTGCTTCTGACAATGGACTTGTCTCTGTACTTGTATTATTAGATCTTAGTGCTGCATTTGACACCATTGACCATGATATTCTTTTACAGAGACTGAGCATCAAATTGGCATTAAAGGAACTGCCCTAACCTGGTTTAAGTCATACTTATCAGACCGTACTCAGTTTGTACATGTTAACGATGAATCCTCCATAAATACTAAAGTTAGTCATGGAGTTCCACAAGGTTCTGTACTTGGACCAATACTATTTACTTTATATATGCTCCCTTTAGGCAACATTATTAGGAATCACTCCATTAACTTTCACTGTTATGCAGATGATACGCAGTTATATCTATCAATCAAACCCAATGAAATTAATCAATTATCTAAATTACAAACATGTCTTAAGGACATAAAATCGGATGACCTGCAATTTTCTGATGTTAAACTCAGAAAAACCGAAATTCTTGTTCTTGGCCCCAAAAACCTAGAGACTCATTGTCTAAAGATATAGTCACTCTAGATGGCATTAACTTGGCCTCTAGCACCACTGTCAGGAATCTTGGAGTTCTCTTTGATCAGGATTTGTCATTTAACTCCCACATAAAGCAGACCTCTAGGACTGCCTTCTTCATTACGTAATATTAGAAAAATTAGACACATACTATCACAGACAGATGCAGAAAACTAATCCATGCATTTGTTACTTCAAGGCTGGATTACTGCAACTCTTTATTATCAGGTTGCCCCAATAAGTCCATTAAAACGCTCCAATTAATTCAGAACGCTGCAGCACGAGTACTGACAGGAACTAGAAAAAGAGATCACATCTCTCCGTACTAGCTACTCTCATTGGCTCCCTATAAAATGTAGAATTGAATTTAAAATACCCTCCTCACCTATAAAGCTCTTCATGGTCAGGCCCCTTCATATCTTAAAGAGCTCATAGTACCCTATTACCCCACTAGAACACTACGTTCTCTGAATGCTGGGCTACTTGTGGTTCCTATAGTCTCTAAAAGTAGAACAGGAGCCAGAGCCTTCAGTTACCAAGCTCCTCCCTGTGGAACCGGCTAGTTGTGGTTCGGGAGGCAGACACCCTCACCACTTTCAAGAGTAGGCTAAGACATTCCTCTTGATAAAGTTTATAGTTAGGGCTGGATCAGGTGAGTCCTGAACCATCCCTTAGTTATGCTGCTATAGGCCTAGACTATCGGGGATTTCCCATGGTGCACTGAGCTACTCTCTTCCTCTCTCTTTCTGCACTCATTCATGTCCCTTTAATGCATGTTACTAACTCCACTTCTTCCCCGGAGTTCTTGTGCTTTCTCGTCTCGCAGGTTCTCATGGATCCTGGTGGAGCCTCCTGCCATGGTCCTGCTTGACTGCCATTGCCAATACTGTTGTTGCTGTGCACCTGTCTGTCTGTCTGTCGCTCTCTCTCTCTCTCTCTCTCTCTCTCTCTCTCTCTCTCTCTCTCTCCACCCCAACTGGTCGAGACAGACGACCACCCACCTAGAGCCGGAGGATCTGTCCTAGGTTTCTGCCTTTTAACAGGCAGTTTTTCCTTGCCCTTGTCGCCAAGTGCTGCTCATGGTGGTACTGTTGGGTCTCTGTAATTAATGTTAAAGAGTTCGGTCTAGACCTGCTCTATTTGAAAAGTGTCCTGAGATAACTTCTGTTATGAATTGGCGCTATACAAATAAAATTGAATTGAATTGAATTGAATTGAATTTTACTGACAAAACAATTATTCAAGAGAATAACTGGCAGATTCATCAACAATGAAAATAAATGTTAGTTGTAACTTACTAATAATGCATACATGGTTTGGGTCCAAAAAAGTGAAAGTCTAAGCAACTTATTGGAATGAATGGTGGATATAGAGTTTCCTTGAGTTACAACTGTTACATTTAACACATAATGAGCTCTGTCGCAGATTAGTTAGTACTGCAGAGTCAAGGTGAAGAGTCATGTGCCTCAGAGCAGAAAGCAACAAGCCACAACACAGAGTACATATGAAGAAGTATTTTACCATTCACAGCAACATAGCACAATCAATAAAATCAACAGGTCCATCAGTATGCATCCATATGCCAGGGTTAGATTCAAAGCTCATGTAGCATCCATGGGAGCATCCTAGAATCACTGCAAAAGGCTGTTTCATGTGTTCATAATGTTGTGCAGCGGCATTGGGTACGCAAGTCACACTTATTCTGACCAGTTCCCTATCTGTCTCCCGCACAATAAAAGAAAACAGACTACTCTTGCATACCTACAACAGCATTTCCCACACCCTAAATCCTCCAAAGCCTAAAATAAAGCACAATCTTGCTCGTTGTGGAGGAGCTATCCAGTTCCCTGACACCCTTTAAGGCAACCTTGCATTCTGATTGACTCATTCAAGATAAGAGCTGCAATCAACATGAATATTATTCATTCATTCTGTATTCTTAGCCTCTTCCAGACTGGATTTTATGATTTCTGGAAGCTGGAGCGAATTTCTGTCATTCACTTTAGGACTCATGGACCCTCTTGTATGCCCCTATGGTAGATAAAACATTATAAAGTGCCCTCAAGAGTGCCTTTTGAGTGGAGAAAACGTGATGAAGTGCCCTCTAAGGTGCTAATCCTAACCCTGACTAAGCTGTTAAATGCATCACAACTTTCTGTGTGCTGCCCTTTAGCATTTCCTTCTATTACTGTACAAGATCCAATAAAGCAGCTGAAAAATAAGACTGCTACCATCAATCACTTCATTCAACATTTTAGATGAAAGTCATTTTCCAGATGATCTAATAAGCATATCAATCTAATCCAATGTAAAATATGTCTTGTTTCTGGTTTCTGGTTGTGAGCAGCGTCAATACATAACTTCTTAGTTCAGAACAATCCTCATCCCTTTAGGGGACCGCAGGATTTCAATGAATATAGATGAGAGTTCAGGACTGAATCCAAGCAACAGGACATCATTCATGTAAACGTAATTCCACATTCCTGGAAACAAAATCTTCTGTCACAGGGATACGTGGGGGGATAATAGATGCAGCTTCGTTGGGTATTAGCCTTGGGCTGACCTGACTACAGTTGGAACATTGTCAGTGTA